TGGTGCAGAGCCACCGGGTGCAGGGGAACTGGGCTGATTTTCATGCTCCAGAGCACAGCAGGCAAAGCTTTCTATCAGTTAACACTTCGCAGGGTGTTTTTTCTCCTTTCTTCCTATTTCACTTGCTGTTCCAGGCAACCAGCCCCCCCCCCCAAAAAAAAACCAAGGCTGAGCCTTTCAGAGCCCTTTGTGATGCCTCTCCGGCGCGAGGCCGCAGCACGCACAGCTACTCTGCTGGCTGCTCCAGCAATGCTCAGTTTATTTCTCCTCTGGGCCATTACATGCTGGAGAAAAGAATGTGGTGCCGGGCAGGGAAGCCTGTGAGCATTACTCACTGCTCCCGACTCCTGCGAGCAGGGGGGAGCCTGGGGTGGTTTCCTCTCTGGAACACCAGGCGCTGGAAGAGGGGGGATTTTTTTTTTTAACCGCAGTTTCTCCATCATCGCGTTTCGGAGAGCTCGGTTCGCCTCTTGCTGTTTCACAGAGGTGGGGAAATGCCAAGGGGCCTGTCACAGGAAGGGCGGTAGAGGAATCAGTTTAGCCGTGTCCTGGCTCTTGAAGCCACCAGCCATGGGCAAGACTCAAAGGAGATGTCTAGGGAATAATCAGTCCCCTGGCTACTTCCTCCTCCTCTCCAGCACACAAATAGCCAGGGGTTGTGGGGAGACCAGGAGGTTTAAAACAGACACCCGCAGGCCAGGCTGAGCGCATCCCCCCATCTGGCTCAGCCGTAGTGATGTACCAGGATTTCTCAGGCTGCAGAGATGGAAGGATTCAGCCGTAGATCCTTGCAAGCCACCCATCCCTTTCTCGCCTCCCTTTAGCTGTCCAGGGGGAGCTGGCTCAGCTATAGGGAGCTGAGCAAACACATTTTTACGCCCTTTCTTCCCGCAGAGCTCCCAACTTTCGCTCGTGCTGGAGACAGTCACTGGCACTTCACCTGCAATTAGCTGGTGACCTGGAAAGTCACCTCGCTGAGCTGCTTATGGAATCAAGCTACCGCCAGGAATTAGTGATGTCCTTGGCAAAGGAGACAGTTGCGGCTCTCAGGATTTAGCCCTGAAGAGCCTCATTGTCTCTTAGCTGTGTCAGGGAGTGTTGACCAGAAACGGTCCCTGGCTGGGGGGGGGTCCCGTTCTCTCATTAGCGAGCGTGTGCTGCTTCAGGAGAGGTGCCAGCTGGCTGCATGCAAAAGTCCCAGGAAATCCCAGAGCATTCAAACAAAACTGGCCTCCTTGCAGAAGTCCCCTCCAAGGGTGCAAAGTGTCAGCTTAAGAAAATGGGCTTTCCAAGGTATCAGTTCAGGGATGGGACTGCGGTTATCAGCTGTGCTTGGGGCAGAAGGAGTCCTGGTCTTTGAAGTTGGTCTTTGCAGAATTGCTGACCTGGGGCCTGCCCTGACTTGTATTATACCCATCTGTAATCTACTTTAGCAGGCCTTACTGTGCTAAATCGTATCAAGTATTGAAAATCACTTACAGCAGTGGAGCTAGCAATTCACCCAAGCTTACCAAGTGCTCTGGCCACTGTGGTCCAGCTGGGCTTTAGTCATGCTGACAAAAAGATGAGCTGTCCAGACTGTATCAGTCTTAAGAAGAATCAGAGGAGAGAAATGACCCAAGACTTTCCAGAAGTAAAACCATAACATCCCCAGGTCAGTATGGCCTTGAATAGTTAAGACATTTTGTCTTATATAGAGCAAAATATCTTGATACTAGCATTAAATTGTTTGTTTTCCCTCCTGGACTGGGACAGCATGGAATGTGCCTGCCTTCTTTGGGCTAAGAAAACATCTCAGACGATCAAAGTCTGCCCTGAGATGGCCCAGCCCTGAACTGAATCCATCTTCACAGAAAGCTCCCAAGTGCCCACACTGAGAAAAGCGTTCCCGAAGCGAGGCGCAGCAGGGAGGGTTTCTTCTCTCACCGTCTGGCCACCTCCCAGTGACCATCAAGAGAAATGCCAGAGTTCGATGTAGCTGTTCCGTTTCCTTTCTCTTTTACCGCCCACCTGATGTCCTCCTGCTGCCTCGTATTCAACCTCTATGTCTTATCTACACCGCCACATTGCTCATTTATTTGGTGGATCATGAGTCCAAGTGCAGCTCCTCTTACTGCAGGCCTGGTTTCTCCTCAGGAGGTTCTTATACCTATCTCTGTTCCCAGCTCTTATTCAGGGTTGTCAACTGCTGTCTGGTCCATGTACACCACAGGGCTGGAGGGAACCCGTGGCTAGTCCTAACGCAGGCTGCCCCAGCCGATCTGGCTCTCTGGGCAGGATTTTTACTCTGCTTACGGGCCCTGCTGATGATTTTATTTACCATTTGCATTGGAAATGCAGGTCTCCTCCACCCTGGTCTCTGCTTTCCCTGATGACTGCAAATATGGTAGGTTGGTATTTTTCCCAGATGTCAAACAAGTCGGTCTTGACTGAAGGGCCTCCGGATTTAATTTGTCATTACCTTCTATTTAAATAGAAACACATGACAAACAAAGCAGGTACAGAGTCTCTTACTGAGGCTCTCCCTCATTTAAGGGCTAAGAGGGGTTTTCCTCTTCAACTCCAGAGCCTTCTCACAGGCCTAGAAGCAAAATAGGTAATCAAGACTTGAGGCACTTGTATTTCTAAGCGAAACCCCCAATCTAGCCCTAATCTAATTCATGGCCTTAAATGGCAACAATCAAGCAGGAAGAAATCAGCAACCTATTCCTCTTCCTTTGTGGGTCATCTTCAAAACACATTTTCTATGAACAAAATTCCCGAAGCATACATGTAACTGGAAATTCCAGCGCTCCAGTCCTGTCTGTACTTGAGATTTGGGATGAGGAGCTAACAGTAACAGTGCTGAGCCAGCTGCTCCCCTCGGATGTTGCTGTGTGCAGTGGCTGTGCTCACAGCAGCCCTGTATGACTTCTGCATGGCCCTCTGTGCGTCAGCGAAGCAAAGGATCGTATCTCACACCTGCAGCCAAACCTAGAATATTTAGCCTGGTTAGAGCCCAGATTGATGTTCAGTGCTCACGGGAAGACCTGTCTTCCACGTCCCAGCTGCTTCCAGTCCACAGCATGAACCGGGAGAGGATTGTTCTCCCAAATGCTCTGCAGCCTCTCCGGAAAACAAGGGTGCTAACCCAGCGAGAGCCCACAGCATGAACCGGGAGAGGATTGTTCTCCCAAATGCTCTGCAGCCTCTCTGGAAAACAAGGGTGCTAACCCAGTGAGAGCCCCGGGGGCTGCAGAACAGCCCGGCGGGGGTGTCCCCCCAAGCCGGTGGGGCTCCCTCTGCCCTCCGCTCGCCCGCTGAGTCACTGCTGCGCCCTGTGGCTCCTTGTAGGGTGGATTTACATTTTCCGAGCCGACTCAGGGCTTTGCGGGGCGCGGGCCCGGTGTGAGTCAGCTGCCAGGGTGGCAGAGGGCCCGTGGCTGGGAGTCACCGAAGGCGGAGGAGGCCAAGCTGCCTCTGATGCCTCAGCACCGGTGGCCTTGGGGCAGAGGTGAGGGAGCGAGG